AAATAGAAGAAAGCAGAAATAAAAGATTATACCTGCCCCTTTTTTTCCCCTCAAAATTATAATCAAACAATAATAATATATAAAACAAAATCAAGTTCAAAATCAACTCCTATCTGCACTATGCCATATTTTATTTAAGTTAAATGGACCTTACAATTATTTAATCACCCAGGGCAGAAGCCTTCCTCGACCAGAAGCTTTAAAGATATTTTTATTTCCATGTTTCTTTAAACAAAAGTTGAATAAATCAATGTTAGAGAACAAACCTCAGAGAATGGATTAAAACTAAAATCTTTTAAAGATTTAGTTTTTGTTGTTGCCTTAAACAAAAAGAAGACTGAAAGATGAAAAGCAGTCAGAGCTCTGACATTTTGTGCCTTATTGATGAACGTTATTGTCCCAACTCTGCCTTTCCTGACCTTTGACCTTTGACCGGACTTTATTGTTCTTTGAAACGACTTGAGATCAACTTTTCCTCCAACAATCTCTTCCTGTTTTTTATTCTGATGATGTCTGGATGATTAAGAGTATTATTTAGATTTTTTAGAGATTTTTTTTCTCTTTGCTGTTTCTTGGGGAACAGTCTTCTTGCAGGTTTTTGGATATTTTGTACTATTTGCTGCCAACAGATAAGTCTATCTGCGTTGGTTTGATAAAACTAAGAGACCTTTTATGATAAGCTTTCAAACAGACTAAAGAATTTATTTAAAGCGAGATTTACAAATGCAGAAATTTGTACTCTGTACTGAGRTTTGAATGTTTGAAGTGGTGGGGTGTTTGGAAATAAATTAGTACTTGAATGTTGTTTGATGCTGTCTTGATTCTATTTTACAATTTTAATTTTATTGTGAAGCTTTTCTGCACCAGGTAGAAAATGTTTTTAAAAAAAAAACATAAGCCAAAATAATGTTTTTTCATAATTCTAGTAAATGTTTAGTAAAAAAATATTTTAGGTTCTGCAAAATACAAATAAATCAATTTTTAAAAGATTTGCTGTGAAATAAAGTTGCACTTGTTAATAAAATCTAAAATACTTTAAATGAATAAAAGAAAAATATGTATTTGCTCAATTTAAAGTATCACCTTTTATTTTTCTATATTTTATGTAATTTTCCTGTTCATTGTTGTGTGTGCAGCAATTTGGCCAGCAGAAATAGTTTTAAAATGTACTATATAAATATAAATTCCCGAAAACTAGCAGTTATTTCTAATGTTATGTTTATTTTAAATGTTTTGTTTAATCCGTTCAGTAAATCAGTTGTTTTTGGTGCATTACCCTACAGTGAGCAGCAGGAGGCGCTGTTCTCCTGGTTTTTAATGGCATCAGAGACTACATTATGGAAATGACCTGGACTCAGTTTTGATTGGCAGTCTAAAATGGATTCTTCACACCGACACAGTCTGGAGGCGCAGAGCTGCTTGTTTCTTTGTCTGAGTGATGGCAGAAAAAATAAATAAAATAAAAACATGAATGAAATGGAAAAAATCTAAAGATAATGAACCGTTGAACCGCATCACATCCTGCCACGGTCTCTCTTTACTCCCATTCTTTCTTTAGTCCTTTTATTCTGGTCTTAGTTGTATCTTTTACGTCTTCATCTCATTTCTTTTGTCTGAGGTCTTCGTCGAGTCCTCTCTGCTGAGTCGGATTTATTTCACAGCATTTCTTAAATTATAGTTTCTGCTGGTAAAACTCTAACTCTTCTTTTATTGTGTTTATTATCATACAGCACTGTTAGAGCTGGTCCTGACAAAATAACAAAAACAATTCTGAAGCCATTTAATGTCATACAGTACCAGTGGACCTAGGGCTTTTTTTTTCATAAACGAGGAGTTAAAATAGTAATTATAGACTTWAAAAAATCTCTTGTTAAATATTCTCATAACGTGTTTTTCAGATTGTTCCAAAGATTAAGATCAAAACCACATATTTATAAATGGTTTATCTCTAAAGACATATTAAACTTAGATTTTGAAAGATTTAGAACTTGTGATTGGAGCTCATAATGTTTAACTAAAACTGATATGTAATAAAAATAAATAATAATTTGGATTAATTAAGTCACAAAAGCTTGACTCCTAAAATCCTAAAAGCAAACTCCATTGAGAAGATGTTTGTCCAGGTTNTGTGCGTCTGTGTGTGGGCCAGATGTTGATCTTGCAAAAGGTCCAACAGTTGATTTAGACAAAATGTTGGTAGCTTCTTGTTCTGCTTTCAGTGATTGAAATATTACATTTTGGAGTCTTTGACATTCGCCCCGAGGCCTTGTTGTGTAGAGTTCGTTCCCTCCGTGCACATGTGTGTTTTCTCTGGGTACTCTGATTTTCCTCCACAGATTAAAAACTAGGAGTGAGAGTAAATGGTTTTCTCCATGCACAGTGACAGACTGATGACCTTTCAAGAATTAAGTATTGCTGTTAAAGTTAATCAGATATAAACAAATACTCAGTGTTGTATAAAGTACCTCAAAGTGATACTTGAGTAAAGGTACAAGTATCTTATCATAAAAATACATTGGTAAAAGTTAAAGTCTTCTTTAAAAATATTACTTGAGTAAAAGTCTTAAAGTATCTGATATTTTTTGTTATTAAGTATCAAAAGTACATTTCCGACACAAAGTCTACTTAAGTATTAAAAGTAAAAGTATTGAGTAAAAGTGAGCAGTTAGACTTTACAAACGGACATTTATTGGGAGGTGACTTCTCCAAAAAGCATTTTTTTCTAACAGCGTGCAGCTGTGATGGGTTGTGTACAAAGGTATACGATTTCAGAGTGGTATATATACTTCTCATTCAACCACAATTTAATGCACTCTATCCAGGAGACACAATTTATTAGGATAGTATTTTTTAAAATGATAACGCGGAATAAAATACAGTAGGAGTAACGACTTTCTACTTACCAAATTACAAAATGTAAGGAGTAGAAAGTACAGATAATTGTGTAAAAATGTAATGAGTAAATGTAAAAAGTACGCTGAAAAACAATTACTCAAGTAAAGTTCAACCAAAATTTCTACTTAAGTACAGTWATAAAGTATTTGTACTTAGTTACTTTACAACTCTACAAATACTTTCTGATAGTTTCATTAAAATCTATCCAGTGGTTCAGGTGATATTTTGCTAACAGATAAACTGGCTTGGCTGTAATGTTAGTTTTAGGCAAAGGCCTTCCACACTGTGCAGCACACACTCCTACCAAACCAAATTATAATCCTAAACTTTGTAAAAGTAAAGATGAACTGTGAAAGTTTAACTTCTGGAAACTCAAACTTGTTTGTTTTTTTATGTTTAGTTGTTGTTTGTAAATAAAGCTGTCAACAAGTCCGAAACAAAGTTTAGATAAAACTGGTTTCAGATCAGTTTCAGTTTCTGGTACACACACACACACACACACACACACACACACACACACACACA